CTTCCTTCTCATGCAGCCCAACATTACAAGACCTCCAATAGGAGCCCTGTCCATGCTGCAGTGCCGCAGTGTCAGGAGGTCACTAACTCTGCAGATGGCTGCCCTCCTTCACCACTTTTTCTTGGACATAAGAACTGTTAGAAATGACTCTTTATTGCTTACCTATTATTTCTAATACGAAACTACTTCTAATCTGGCTCGTGCATAACTTTGTGTCCGTGTGTGTATGTGTACACACACATACATGCATGTAATGTGTAGCCATGCAAGTCCTGGAAGAGAAAACTTCAGATGTATGAAAATACTGATTTCTAAATTACTTCTACATACCTGCCAGATTCTGTTTGGTGATTGTAGTTGCTCTGCTAGTAGTTATTTGAATGTGAACATGCTCTGGCTCTGCTCTGACCCGGAATAAAATTCTGCCGAACAGTGAGTGTAGGTATTAATGAACTAAGAATTCAAACAGCACCAAATTTTGAAACAACGAGTACAGCCTTGTCAGGTACAAACTGAAATGAAATTGTTTGCTAGAACACTGTTTTTGCAATGTTAGAGCAGTGCTCTGGGTACCAGTAGGAGAATGAAGGATTCAAGAAGAGTCTTACTATTTTTTTTAATTATCTTTTTTAGCGCAACTGTGATTTTGCTGACCTGTATTCCCAGCACTTTAATAAGGCAGTAGAACGAGCTTATCTTTGCAGTCGTGACGTAGAGTTCTCAGTGAGCAGGTGACTTTAAACACACTCATTCCTCTTCTCCGGTGCCATCTGATGCCTTCTTGCAGCAGGACATGCAAGTGTTGTCAAGCAACCATCGGCCGCGGGCGGTCGTGTGACATTTACTCTCTGAGGATCAGAGTACTGCTGGCTGTCAGACAGAAGCCAGCGAGCATTAGTACGTAATAGTCTAAATAAAGACATGAGTGAGCTGCATACGGAGTGGTAGGAACAAAGATGCAACGCTGATTTTAGATATTTTTCTAATAGAAAGTGGTTCTTTTTGCCGCTCTTATGAGGGCTGTTTGTCCTGAGCGCTGGAGCCCAGAGGTTCGCTCTGAGACAACCCTTAACCCTGTGTTTAAGACCCATTAAGGCAGAAATTCCTGATGCTGTGCTATATAGGGTCAGGGATGAGAAGTAGGCTCTTGGAACTGTATGTATTGTGCATACCAGGAGAAAAATCTAAACAGACACAGGGTGAGCTTGGTCACCATTAAGTTGGACATTTACTTTTTATAGAGCTCGTTGCAAATGTAATCACTTCAAGTGTTTAGAGAATTCCTTAGTGACTCTGAAAAGAGCACTGCCCTCTCCGCACTCATTAAACTTTAAAGTTGAAGCCTCCAGTCAAAATACGAGGTTTCCTGGAGCTTTATCACGCATGTATAATATCTGGCAGTCTGCGGAAGTCACCTGTTTGAAAACTTCCCTTGCTTTATGGACAGATGTGCAAATCAATGTCTCTTCCGCTCAATCAGATTTTTTTTTTTCCTGTATTAATTGCACTTAATTTGAAAACTTCAATTAATACGAATTTTCACCTGGTTATTGATAGAGAAAACTGCTAAGCAAGAAACATTCCAGCTTCAAGTTAGGTTCTTCCAAAAATATTAACAAGTGTGACTTGGGTTTTTTGTGAAGATACATTTTATCCTGTTTGCATCTCTATCCTGGAACTATTTCCAGATAAGGCATAGATTAAACAGCAGCTTAATTGATTTCCCCCCTCCCCCCCCAATACTGCAAAATTATTTGGTTTTAGGGCTGAAACAGACAGAAAATTAGAAAAAACAATACCAGCTGACACGTGATAGACCTGACTTCGAATATATTCAGTGTGGCTCAGGATGCTGTGCTTTCATGGATTTTTTTTTTTTTCAGCTTTGTTTGGAAAGGAGTATCATAGAGAAGTCAGAGTAGACCCATAGCAATATCAGCACTTGTTTCCATTCTTTTGAACAAAAAAGTAAAAGGGAATACAAAGCCATACACGTGCGCCTGCTTAAGATGAGTTGGAGTGTCCATTTCTTCTGCTCAATTTAAAATCCCAGTATTGAGGTACCAAAAGTGTGTCACAGAATCCATGCAGAAGTTAAATCATAGCACTGGGATATTGTTTTTTCACTTGTCCTCACCTACATTTAGGCAATTTCTTGTTACAAGTGTTGTGAACGGCCTGTTTCATGACAGGAGGTGCAGCACCTTTTGGCAGCTGTATTGAAGTGTATCATTTCTGTTAGAGTATTTCTGTGCGTAACCGCTGGGAGAAGCTGTTAGCTGTGTCGTGTGCAAGCAAAAGTGTGAACTGAAGGGAACATGAAGAGCAAGTTAATGTGCTGCACTTAGGCCAGACAACATTTCCAGTACGCAAAAAGGCCTATTAATTCTGATACTTGTCTGTGGGAAATACGGGCCTACAGGGAAGAAAGTTTTATGATTGTTTTATGCAGTAAATTTCTGAAAGGTTTGTGTTGACTGGCTGTTTATGCTTCAACCAAAAGTCCTGTTCTCTTGCCACCACCACCCCCTTTTTTTTTTTTTTTTCTTAGGGAATATACTATTTCCACGGGACTGAAGCAGTGCAGCAGTCGTTTCACTACAAGGTCTGTTAAGCTGATCAGCCATGAGACCTGGCTGGAATGCATAAATCCCAAACAGTGACTAGTTTAAAAGCTTTAACTTGTATACAGTCTGTGTCTTGTTGGAATTGAAGACCAAGCTAGGACTTGCAGTGCTGAGATACCACATGTTATTTTTCTGCTGAGTTCTGTGGAAGTCTGCAGTCTTTCTTAGAGTATGACATAGTAAATAGGAGTTGCTGTTAGCCACAATTAAATACTCTTACTCATCTTGGATATCTTTAAAGCTACTAAATTTGAAAAAAAGAAATTACCGGAGATCCATAACTATTTGTTATTAACTATGATGGAAATCTGATAATTAGAACTCTTCTTGGATATGTCTCCATTAGTGAGGAAATTAAAATACAATACTCAGTAATGCTTGTTTCTGCCTAAAAGCTTTGCTACTCATGGCACATGGAAATTACTTCAGATTAGAAAACTTGCATGGCAAAACAAATGGTCTGATACCCTAAGTACAAATCCTTGAAGTTCCTAAAGCCTCCGAAATGTCATCCTTGCTCCAAGTCCTACACCAGACATTTAGCAGTCTCGCAACTTGTAGTGCCTTTGGCTTCAAAGTAGTTTTCCTTGTCCCTATCCGGTGTTAGAATACCAGGTGGCAAATGTGTTTCCAAAGTTGAGAGTAACAGAAGTACAGGTTTTGAAATGGAAAATTGGGTTTTTCTAATCTTCAAATGTGCAGACTGTTGACCAGATGTATTTGAAACAGGATCAAATTGAATTCAAGAAGCCGAAGCTTGTAGGAAGGTCGGTGTGACCTAGTGGGAGACTTTCCTCAGGAAAAACCTTGAGGTCTAGTGTTGTTAGATAAAGTTAGGTCAACAATTGCACATTATGTCCTAAGGCAGTACTGAAAAGGGAGAGAAACTCTAGCAGTAACCAGCGTCTCTGTGTAGACGGCAGGTAAGCTTGTTCCTCTCCCAGCTTGTGAGAAAGCAGAGCTGCAGGTGGATGAGGAGGATGGGAACAGGCTGTCTCTCACCATGCAGTCAAGGAATTCGGGTTCTCAGAGTTTAAGGTTGTCTCATTTTGTAGTCTTTGGTGTATGCCCATCCTTTTCTTGATGAGAGGTGTATTAGTTTTCAGATAAAACCCAAAAATTTTCTGTGATACGACAATGCTCCTATTTTTCATATGCGTATCTTATATAAAGGAAGATATTTTTCCATATATTTTTCATATATATGGATATTTTCAGTTTGAAAAGCCTTGTCTCAGCGGAAGAAATTGTGGCTTTGAACGGCTTGTGCAGATTAATTTAGTCAAAAATTCAGACTTAAATACTAACAGTCTTAAGAGTACAAAAATGAACTGAACTGTTGGAAAAGATAGAAGTATGCTTAAGGTTTCCTTGGATGTTCCAACCTTTTTCTCTTCTTCAAAGACAAGAAATCAGTATCAGAACATGGGTTCTGAAGATTATTGTCTTTAAATGGGTTTGATTTTTCTTTCAATAAGCTTTGAGTCCATTCAGGTTTCAAGTCTGGATCTTTCTTACTATAAAAAATTGATGCCTAAATACCTTTTAGACTTCAAAATAGGAAGGAGAAACCAAAATTCTTTAGATCTGGTCCTAGTTGTAAACAAGCAGAGGTAGAGCTCCATCAGTTGTGGCAGCGCTGTGTGCATGGGGCTGTCCACAACCTGGAAAGGGTGCCCTATAGATTTCATCCCGGTTAGGTTACTGTGATGGATGTGTACTTTGCAGGCATTAAGCAGCAGTTGTGTTTTCTTGGAGGTCATTTAGATGGGTGCTGAGAGAAAACGTGTTAAGACAGGTGGCCTGTGAGCAACACAGCTTCCATTTTGGTACCTGTAAGAAACTGTTGTTGATGTTAATTGTAAGGTACTAAATCAGTTTCAGTGTGCACTCCTGAAAATCCACCCAATAACTTACACTTTAGCTAAAGACACTTTTATTTAAGTCCAGAATCTCATTTGTTATTTATTTCAATTAAACAAGATCTTACGTCTGAAATCAGTCAGTGGTGAATGAAGAGCCTGTGCTTGCTGCTGCAGCGTGAGCATAGGGTGTCACACTCACTGTCACTTGCTCTTGGCAAAGGGGTGGACTCGGATCTCTGCAAGCACCTCTGAGAAAGGCTATTGAAAAGAACAAAAGCATGATAGATGCATCCTTACCAGAGCAACTTTGAGCAGATAAAAAGATAGCCAGAGAATGATGTTAGAGTTCTGTATCCCATTCTTCACTACTTTAATTTCCTCTCAGTCTGGAGCTTCTCCATATTGACACTTTTCTATAAAGCTAGTCCTTTTCCTTCATCCAAAAACCCCCTCTTGCAGGGAGTGGCAGCAGTGTTTCAGCTCCAAATGGAAGCGTTCTGTCTCATTTCTGTTACTTGAGGAAGTATCCAGTACCAAAGTCTAAAGTAACTCACTGTATTGCAGATTGGGATGTTCAGGTGGGGAATGAGCGATCGGAAGGCAGTGTGACTGTCTGCATCGCTCATGCAATTGGCACCATTTTCAGCAAGGGCAGTGTACTGTAGAAGAGCCTGGTTTAGGAAGGCTTTCCTTACTGCAGTTTTAACGCCTTGCTTGGGAACGTCATTCCCGTGAAAGCTCACGGTCAGCACCCTCACAAGTGGTAAAAATTAAAGTGGAGACATGTCCTGGAAGATAAAATTAGTAATGCTGTCTTCCTTCGGGATTGGTTTCTCCACTTTAGCATCTTTCACAGCAAATGGAAATAATGATTTGTGTAACTGTCCATCAGTGTGATCTGGCTGGAAATGGCAATGACTGTGAACAGGATAACAGCAGCATCCAAAACCGAGGTGTTAGGAGGGTCACGGGGAAAAAAATATCATTGTATCAAATGTCCTATTTTGCCCTGTTATTTCTGAGCTAGTGGTGGTGTTTCACCATTTTCATTTCCAGTGCTTTGGAGATAGTTCTGAAGTCTCTCATTAAAAGAAGTATTTTAAAAAAAAAAAAGCCTGTATGGATATTGCATGAGCCATTAATTTCTATACATGTACTTGCAACGAGCCCATAAAAACATGCAACTTCGAGTCATGTATTTCAGTTCCCAGTAACTGCTAGAATAGTGATGTTGGCAGAAGAGTGCCCCTTCAATAGAGGTTTGACTTTGTTGTTGTTGTTGTCTTCCTCTTTTCTTTTTGTTTTTAGCCACCAGCTAAATACCTCCTGCCAGAACTGACAGCATCAGACTACGGGAAGAAGTGTGTGGTCATTGATTTAGATGAAACGTTAGTGCACAGTTCATTTAAGGTAAGTAAATTCCGTAGTGATCTCTTGCAACTTGAATCTGTCCGTGAATGTTGTAGGGACTGTTAAGCCTCTTAACACATTAACTAGTCTTACAGGCTCTCCCAGGATGCCTGGGAGTTCTAATTGTTCCTCCTGTGATTATTCATCCTAACTTTGCTGCAAGGGGACTAACACAGACAATGCTGGTTTTTGATCTGAGGGAGTCGTGCGACTGCAGCAAGGCCTGGAATGGTTATTGACTTACGGCTTTAAATGGTGACTATTCCAACAAGGACCTGTATCTTAACGGTACAAAACCTGTTGCTCTGCAAATACAGTTTTGGTTTTGGTGCTTAGGTGATGCCAGCGTTAGTCTAGGAGCATGGAAATTCCGCACAGCATTATGTTAGGTAGATGGTCCTTAAGACAGTAGATTTGGGGCCCCAGTGTTTGCTGTGGTGTATGCCAGAGAAGATTGCTTTCTGCGTCAGGCTGCTGTCATGATCATGGTAAGTATTTTTAAGTATTTAGCTTTCACAACAGGAAAGAAAATAGCATTTAGCTGTTGCTGGTGAGTCAGTCATCTTGTAGAAGCAACTTTTATAACCCTTCAGAATTCAGCATGCCGTGGAAGTAGTGGTATTTTGCTATTGTTTAAGCAAAGCTAAAGTTAGAATAGGAGAATTCAGAAATACAAATAGCCTAAACTGTCTCAGAGTGCTGGTAGTATTTCTGACTAGCAAATGTCCAACACAATAAAGCATCTTCTAGTTTTCTACTTTGATATTGGAGAATTTATAAGAATCAGTAGTATGTTACCTTACTAGTAGCAAGCTAGGGTTACCACCAACTTGATAGTCTTCTGGTTTTGATTGCACGCCATTTTTCACTGCTAGCATACACTCAGCATTTTAATCCTGCGATATTTAGTTGCCAGCATTTAAATATGCAAACCATAATTCATGCTGTGGTTAGAATTTGGCAACAGCCTGTCTTTGTTGACTTAAAGAAGACCTTATATGGAGATTGTAGAACAAGTATTCCTGTGCCTCAAACTGAAACTGGCATTCTTCTCTGTCTTTATTGTGTATAATGGTATATAACAATTTGTGGTGGCATAGAGGAACCTCTTAACCTCAGTGCCAGATCCTTGTCTTCCATACCCAGACTGAACTTGCACTTGAGAATTCTTCAAGGGGGACTAGAAATACAGCTGGATTGGGAAGGGAGGGACCATGCCTTCCTAATTAAACGAGAGTCAAAAATAGGAAGGGAAGGCTGAATTTAAAAGTCTAAATTTACATTAAAATAACTGAAATGTAAAAATAAAAGTTTGTATTCGGAGTGCTGTGGGTAACTTTGTACTGTGGTTTTTCTGGGTTTCGGGAAAAAAGATTCAGTTAAGGTGGTTATTAATAATTTCAACCATTTTCAAGAAATGCATGTTTAATGGTTGACATCGTGTAAATCCTTGTAGGATTCAGGTTTGCTTTTATTGCACAGCCCTTTCTTAGTGAGCTCGTTTTAATCATCCCATTTATTCAAATGACATTTAATGGTATTTAAATGAGGTTAAATAGATATTTAAGAAAAATCAAAAGGTTATTCTACTTAGTCTCGAACGCTGAATAATGTTTTGTGCGAGGCAGAGAAAACTGGTCCTTTGTGAAGTAGCGTTAGGTGAACATTGGCATTTTTGCAGCGTGGCATATATTTAAAGCACAGCATTTCTGCTGAGATGGCATTATTGTGATGTGAAGCCCTGTGATGGGAGAATGTAAGAGAAAACCAAGTTTGGGAGGAAATGGGGTTAGTTGTTGAAGGGCTGGCACTGTCCAGAGGTGTGTTTGGGTTTCGTTTCATAAAGGGTGATACTTCAGCTGAGGTGAGGCCGTTGTATTCCTCAAAAACACGATGGATTTCCAGAAGACCAGGGGTTTTAACACCTATATGTGCACTGCTTTGCCTGAATAAGCAGTTACTTTTGCCATTTCTTTTAGTTGTCGGGGTTTTTTTTTTTGGTTTTGGGGGGGGTGTTGTTTTTTTCCCCCACTAAAACATGTCTGCTCTACCAGGCAGGTCCCCACTTAAAAGCATACATAAATTTGTGATTTTTAGTACAAAAGGCTTTATTTAAAACACCCAATGTTTTAGAATTCATAATTCTGTTATGAAATAGGCTTCATATTTCAAATGCAGATAACTTTTTTTTAAACGCAACCAGAGAGGGTATTTAAAGTGCTCTTTCATGAAAGCAGCAACATCTGAAGGAGGGTAATTCTTGGCTTTTTATGCCCCTGCATATTTGTGAAGCTTTAAGGAGGTACTAACCTTTCATGTGAAGTGCATATTAAAGGAATAAAGTTTGGGGTGCTTTGGCAAGCATAAAAAAGGAATAGATAGACATTATAGTTATCATTCCCATCATAAAACAATAATAGAAGCAAAAATCATAAATTATTAAATCAAGGAGATGTAAACATGGTTTTGTATAAAATGAATTAAACCACATGGAAGTCTGGAATGTAGTCATATTCAAAACTGGCTGTAAAAGTCTTAAAACATTTAAAACTCTGAAGCTTTTTATTAAATAGAAACAGTTCTGACTGAAGTAAAGATTTTCAGTGGAAATACATTGTCTTCTTTCATGCTCTCTCTGCGGTTCCCACTCAAGGTGTGTACGTGCTTCACATCTGCAGCCCCAGAAACCTTTATCCAATGAACTTTTCTCCTGTCTTCCCATCGTGACAAAGAACAGAACCCCGGTCCACAGCATCCTCCTTACCACTTGTGCCAACAAGAAAGCTACGTAGTGCCTGAGGTACAAGCGAGGGAAGCAGATAGGTAGCCAAGGGTAGTTTTGTTAGTGTTACAAAGTCTAGGGGTGAGGGGGTTTTGTTAGAAAAAACTAGGTTATCTGAACAGAATGCATTCTTTTCACAGGGTTGGAACTAGATGATCTTGCAGGTCCCTTCCAACCCAAACCATCCTGTGATTCTGTGATGTCTGGTCGGTGTTCCTCCTGTTCAGAAAAATTAGTAATAGCTCTATTTTTATCAGTGGGCTTCAAATCCTTGGCAGCCTGCAGTGACCTGTTCTTTTTCTGCTGCTACAGAGTATTTATCTTGCTTAAGGGAGTCATGCATAAATAAGTTCTTCAAGTGCGTGCAAGTCTCTCCAAAGGATGCACAGAGCTGGCATCCACTTGAAAACTTTGGTGGCTGAGTCTTATTGACAGTTCATGTGGGTTTCTTTTAAGGTGAAGCTTCAGAACATTTTTGTGTACCTGTTTTGTGGCTGTTAGAGATGCTGCCGAGTCTTTGAGGGGCTTCATGCAGGTAGCAGATGGGAGCCTCTCCTCTTTTTCAGAAGCAGAAAGAGGGAAGATAGTTGACATCAAGAAATTTCCAAGGTAAAAAGAAATAATCTCAATTGTATCTGTGGGTATTTGAGGTATTCTTCAGATCAAGCTAGCACAGTGGTCATCATAGGATGGAGTTTCCAGCATCAGCTGCTCTGGAGGTTTAGTTGCCAGTACTGATCAGGATGAGTAGATTCTCATCTGCTCCCTGACACAGCACTTGCAGACATCAGATCAAACCATCTTCCTCATTACTTTGCTGCGGAGAGAGTGCTGCCCTCCGTATAAATTCTTACGGTCATTTTGCTCTCCTCACAGAAAGGTCATTTCACAGTGGAATTACTTTAAAAGGCTGCATTATAGAATCATAGAAACATGGAATCATGTAGTTTGGAAGGGACCTTAAAGATCACCCAGTTCCAACCCCCCTGCCACGGGCAGGGACACCTTCCACTAGACCAGGTTGCTCCCAGCCTCATCCAGCCTGGCCTTGGACACTTCCAGGGGTGGGGCATCCACAGCTGCTCTGGGCAGCCTGTGCCAGGGCCTCCCCACCCTCTCCAGGAGGAACTTCTTCCTGATATCCAATCTAAACCTCCCCATTTTCAATTTACACCCATTACCCCTTGTCCTGTCACTACAGGCCCTTGTAAAAAGTCCCCCCCAGCTTCCTTGTAGCCCCTTCAGGTACTGGAAGGTGCTATAAGGTCTCCCCGGAGCCTTCTCTTCTCCAGGCTGAACAAGCCCAACTCTCTCAGCCTGTCCCCACAGCAGAGGTGCTCCAGCCCTCTGAGCATCTTCGTGGCCTCCTCTGGACTCGCTCCAACTGGTCTATATCCTTCTAATGTTGAGGGCTCCACAGCTGGACACAGAACTCCAGGTGGGGTCTCAATTACAATCTGTTTTTTCCAGGGAATGGGATCAAAGTGATGCTGTCAGGTTAATAATGTGGGATTCTTTTTCCTACCATTTTTCACAGAGCACCTGTTCAGGCTCACTGGTTTGTAATCTGCTTCTCAGCCTCTTTACCTTGGCTGCTTCTCTGCTTTCTTCCCCACCCCCCGAATGGATCTGAAGGCTGTTTCTAGCCTTGCAAACTCTTCAGAGACACCTCCTCGGTGTTACTTGAGATCAGTCTGTTGGCTGATCCAGAAAATGAGGTCGGAAAGTCTGTGCAGGTCTGATAGAGCTGAGTGAGGACGTTTTCCAGCCTTAGTAATCCCATACCAGTTACCAACCAAACTACTCCCAGCCTTGGTTTTAGGCTCTTACCCATGAAGCATATTGCCTGTTAATCAGTCCTGTTAAAGCTGTGTTTGTCAGCTCTGTCTCAGCCATTTCCCAGCCGCAGATCATCGGCTGAAGTGTGTAACTCACCCAGGCATGTGTACATGATTTTTTTTTTTTAATCAGGGATGTAATGCATGAGCCATACCAAGGGATTCTGCCAAGTTTGATGTCCATTTCAACTAGTAAACATTGTTAGCAGTGCGTTCCCCAGCTACCACTACTGCCTGGCCAAAATTAGACTGTGTGCTCTTCAGCTGTCTGCAAGGTCACTTTTCTGCTTTCTAAAGTAATTTTACTTGACCAACAGTTTTTCGCAATAAGTCTTAAGAAGTAAGTTGTCTTCAACAGGGTAGTGAAAAATGGATTCAAGGGCTTGGACAGAGTGTGCCTGCTCTTCCCTTCTGAATTAAAATGCAGTTTTACATGATTAATTTGACTGGTATAGCGTGTTCTCGAGGTATCACATCTTGAGAGTCATTTCACTGTACGACTTCAGTCTTGCTGCAGGTCCTGATTTAAATAAAACCTTTAGGTATTACCTTTACCACTGTCTTTAATTACTAATTGATGACCTACAGCAGAATGTATGAAGCACATAGCTGAATTTCTTTGTCATACGCCACACAGACTTCATGAAAGAGTTATCCAAGTAGATTTTAGTCCTCACAGCAGAGATTATTCAAGCAGTGAAGCATGTTACATTGCACTTCCCTCAGCTTTTTAAGCTTCAAACAGTATCTGGTGAATATGGCAGCGTAACGCTCCTGACTTGCGTGTGTAAAGGGCACATATGCAAAGTGGTTTTGTGTAATCAGTAATGGTTATTCCCTTGTTCCTGGGAAATAAGTACTCTTTGCTTTTAAGCCTCCAGAATTTTCCTTCTAATGATCTTATTTTTAATATTGATTTATTTTCTTGTCATTCTTTCTAGCCAATTAGCAATGCTGATTTCATCGTTCCTGTTGAGATTGATGGAACCATACATCAGGTAAGCGCTGTTGTTCCTTCAGCGTTGTTCTAGTAGTGGAACGATCCTCACTGTCCTAGAGCATTACCTTTCTCCATTTGCTGCTTTACATGGAATAACTTGTCCTTCTGCGAAATACAGCAGCTGTGTACTCTGGAATGTGTCATCCAGACAGTCATCCCTGTTTGATGTGGTTTGAGAAGTCTAGCTAATAAGTCTTGGGTTTAACTTTTTCAGTTCTCCGGAATATCTCTCTCAGGGCCTCAATACTTGACTCTTTCAATTTTAAAACAATTTCAAACAGGAAATGTTCTAAGGATTGGTTTTCAAACATTGCTAGGACCAGAGAAAACTGCTCAAATGCTGCCTTTCTGATTCCCTGCACAGACAAACAGGACATTAGTTGGCTTTAATGACTGATGGTAGTTCATATGGGCAAAGCTTTGTGAAAGTATTGAGGAAGAACAGATATTTTTTCAAGTTTTTGTGGCAATCTGTGTTGTAAGTTCTGTCCCCTTTTCTTCCTATAAGTAATTTTAAGTTCCTCTGATAGGACTTTTTATACACTTCAGCATCTTTAAAAGGTCTGGACAAAATTGCAAGGAGACTAATTTTTATGTCTTATTCTTTCAGAACTTCACTTAAGAGTCTGTGAAATGGTTTTCAGTAAATGCAAAATACTCATAATTTGAAAATCAGTCCCCTTCATGTATCTTAGCTTGGTGTCTTTAATCAGTAGTCATTTCTGAAAACGTTGAATGAAATGAATTACAGTGCTGTAAATTTTCCTCTTCAGACAGACATTAAAGTTCTTCTGGAGACGGGTTATACTGGTAAATGTAAAGCTGAGCCTTTCTGATTCATGTATCGTGCAGATCGTTTGAAACATCTTCTGTTGGTCATTGTAGTACTGCAGTGATTGAGTTGCACATCTTCCTTGGATGTGATTTAATGGAGATTTTAAATACTTGAATTTTTGAAATGTTGTCTTTTATGTGGATTATTTTTACTTGGACAGATAGGTTTGCAGTTTGATCTTGGAACAATTGATAGATCATAAAATTAGTTCATGGTTTCATTTGATTTGCTGTTAGGAAAACGATCCATGTAATGTGAGGGTGACAGAGCACTGAACAGGCTGCCCAGAGAGGGGGTGGAATCTCCTTCCCTGGGGACTTTCCAAAGCCCCTGGACTTGTTCCTGTGTGATCTACTCTAGGGGATCCTGCTTTGGCAGGGGGGTTGGACTAGATGATCTCTAGAGGTCCCTTCCAATCCCTTCCACTCTGTGAATCTGTGTAATTGTCACTCTTAGAATAATCAAGAAATAGCAGTGAGTTGAAATGTGTTTTAAAGTGATAGTTGCTGTGATAGTTTTTATACCATGCCTGTTTTATGTAGAAAAATTCGATATCTATAGTAATTAAACCTGTAATGTTCACCAGAGCAGAATGTTTAAAACACCTAAGTGATGTTTTGGGATGTTTGTATTCTGATATTGTCAGTCCTCATTTGATGTGGGCTTTAGTTGTGTTTGGTGCTTAACACAGAAGTTTTCTCTCCTAAAATTTCCCGGAATGCTTTTTAAAGGGAATAAAATAGGTTGTCTAACAAATTTGAGTGGTTTAGGATTGTGATCACTTAGCTTGTCAAGATAATGGATTTGCATCTTGAAACAAAACCCAGTAAAAGATTATTTGGGCTTTGCAGTCAGGCACTTCAGCAGCCTGTTGCTTTTCCATTCTCTGCTGCAAAGTTTCTGATTCTTCACCAGCTGTAACGCAGTTAGGCACTCAAGAGGTGACTGCATACAGGGCGGTGGGGGGGCGACACAACAAGGAACCGGTCGGAGGGGCAGGGTTTGTGCATACTCTGAACATGAACAGGAGGAAGGATGTTCTTGGCAGAAGGGCCAGTGAAGTTATTCTCTGACAGTGCTTTGCTGGAGACTGCATAATTTTCAAGGAAATTGCTTAACCCATTTGTATTTCAAGTTCTTAATTGCTAAAATAGGTAAATATCGCAGTTGCCCTTGGGTGGTAGAAATGAAGTTAATTGTAAGAAATTTGGGATCCTTGAAATAAAGGTAATTCCTACCTTATGCAGAACACAGTCTTGGATTCCTGTGTTTTTAATACTTCTACAGGCAAAGTAATGTACTGACATCCAGCAAAATCTTGTTTGTTTTAAAACTGTGATGATCTAAAGGACAAAAGCAGACCTTGTGGCTTACTCTGACGTGCATTATTAACACTGGCTGTAGAGCTTTGACAACCAGTTCCCACTTCAAACCTCTCATTTTCTATTCACTTACAGCATAAACGAACCAGCGTCAACAATTTTTGTTATCTGTCAGAATTCGTCATCTGTATAAAACTTGTCCATTTTCTTCAGCAGTTTATATACTCAAAGATTAATCATTGGCACTGGGTAATACTTCCTGTTTAAAATATCACAGGATATGTGAAGTGTTGTGGAACTGTGTTGTCCGTAGTGTGTATCCCTACCTTCTCTACCAGTAAGCCTGCTATCTTCTCAAGCAAGAGGTGGTCTGACAGAGTATTGTTGTACATGAACCCTGCCTTAGGCAGGACCCCATGGAAAACAAATGGAGAGCTCCATTGCAGAAGTGCCCAGTCAGAAAGAAAATCGGAATTATACAAGATTCTTCAGATCTCATATACCAAATATCCAAACTGTGCCAAATTCAATTGCTGTGTGCTTGGAAGGGTGTGCTTAGAGACTGACCTATCTAACAACACCTTATCTTGTTCATGGTAAATGTTTTAATTTTTTTCTTGTGCAGGAGAGGTATTCAAAAAAGGCTGTCGAGTTTGGGGAGTTTATTTTCCCTTATGTCATTTATAATCCAGAGGACTGAGAGACTCTTGTTCTTCTGTAGGGAGGACAATTCAAATCATCATGTTAAAGGGGGTTCGGGTAAATCAGCTTCCCTAGATTAAAAAATAGCTGAACACCCTTTGTCCCTCTCCCATCTTTTTCTCTCTCTTAATTTACCTTATCTTTAGAAAGGATTTGTCATTTTATTTCACAAGAAAATAACTCATGTCTGGAGGTACCTCTCTTTCCTTCTGTTACGGGTCGTTAGATGCCTGCAGAGACTGCGCCCGTCTACAGGGCAGCTAAACTTACAGGAGATGAATCCCACGCTTTGTGTTGGAAACGGTGGCACGGATACAAAAGGGCAGTTCTGATGCAAGCTGACACTCTTCTGGCCAGTTCCCTCATCTCTCTCTGGTTCTCTGAACAAAAGGAAATCAGAGCTGGTCCCCTCCTCTACCAAATTGTAAGTGAGCAACTGGGGAAGCCCAGCGAAATGTGTTGCAGTGGAGAGTGTGCTTTAGGGGAACTTTATTGAGGATGGAAGGAGAGGCTGGAGATGTTCAACCTGTTTGGTACCCTTGAACTGACTTCTGCAAGAGCGCGTCCTCTCCTTTGGAGCTTGCTTCCCATTTAACTGCTGCAGAGCAGACGCAACCCCCAGATGAGAAACTGTGGATTAAATATAGCTTTAATCCTCAATAAGTGAATATTTTTTGGCTATGGTGATTCTTTGTCTTTTATCCAAATTGACTTGCAGTGCTTTTGTGCCTTACTGTGGGTGGCAGAGCAAAGAGGGCAGCCAGGAAGAAATTGGTTTGGTGTTATTTGGAATTTCAGTCGTGAATTTGATTTATTAAGCGGTTAAAATGAGGTTTTAAGTGTTTGGGTTTTTTTAAAATTCAGTTTAACAATCACTTATTTGTAATTGTTGGGAAGCTAAAGCACTGTTTGGCGTGTATACTGTGAATGTAATGTACAACATGATTTTTATCGGTGGGGGAAAACACTGTTCGAATAATAAACTTCCTTCCTATAAAGGACAGAATTCATTGGTTTTCTTACAGAAGGCTGTGGCCTGGTTCAAGTAATCCAGGATAGGCTGTATCCATTCTAGCTGGCCTATTCTTGGTTACTTGCACTGGGAGGCAGCCACAACTGTGTGAACCAGCAAGATGGGGCACAAGGACGCGTGTTGTGTTCCGAAGATGCACCCAGCTCCCAAAACAGGAGATACAGGAGCTTGAGTTGTCACAGGCAGATTTCTTCATCATTACTTGAAGATTTCATTGTTGTAAAACTGGTTTTGAAAGGTGATTCTTTGTGTCCTATTTAATTGATTACAATTAAGCAGGGTTTCTCTTTTCGTTTACAAATACTGCTTTGAGGTATAGAAAATGTATGTGGAAATACCAAAGGCTTGAAGGGAATTAAAAATAATTACTTGTGTTCTGCCATTAGCAGCTCTAAGTACAGAATCCTGTGAAAACATGCCTAATGCCTGATTTGTGCCTCAAAATTTTAAGCCTAGGGTTCATTTAAAATAAAAAGACTGTTTTCTTCTAAATCCTTGCTGTGATAAGGAAGAAATTAGTGAGCATACAATACAGAAAAACTGGTGGGTATCTTAATGCCCTGAAGACAGTATATAAATCTGAGAAAAATGCCAGGAGCCAGTTAGTCTAGAGACTTAAACTGAAGACATCAGGCAGCGGAGGAAAAAGCCAAGCCACAAATAACCATGCAGCATTGAGATGCAAGTCCAGCCGCTAACAAAGTAAAGGGGGAAAAAATTCCAAATGAGGAGGAAGAGGAGAAAAGAGCTGCACTGTCAGCTGAAGAAAGCTTTTTATGTGAACTAAACCAAAGAGATTTTGTAGCCCAGGATACCAGTACGTGTACAGTTGCTTCCAGGATCTAAGTGGGACTTCTCAAAAAAAACTTCAAGGGGAATAACCATACAGAGTGTTAAAATGCGTTGTTCTGAAAAAAAAACTGTTGTTTAAAAGAAAAGGGGCTGGAGGAGGGGGAGGTGAAGGAGCTGGGCCTTTTTTTTAGAGAGGGAAAGAATTAAGGGAAGAATTTGGTGAGACCTTATCCTAATTATTAAATTATTAGATGGAAGATTAATAATAAATTTATTATTAAGAAGGCATTTAACATGAGGAGCAATCTGTTGGCCAGAGCCCAGTAGGTAAGATTCAAGGCAGAACAGCAAGAAAAGCTCAAATAGAGGAGGTTGAGGGTGCTCTGGGGTGGATCAGGAGGCCTAAACTGCAGAAGGGAGACAATACAACTTAAAAATGTTCTGTACTCATAGATAATACTGACTGATTGTGGTGTTGGGAGACCTACAGATTGCTGAAAGAGCGCATATTGCAAATCCGTGCTTTATAAGCCCGCTCCTGTCCACGAGCCTGTGGTTAGGGAGGTCTCGGCCTGTAGCTGCTGGGTCGAATCGCTGTATGGCTCCTCGTGGAGGAGGTGGGTTATGATGCAAGCAGCAAAGTTCATATCCTTGGCGTGGAGTTTGTAATTATCTTCCAAGAGGAAATACTTCAGCGACAGACACAGATAGGGATGGTAGAGCAAAAAGGAGACTTCTTTTGCTGTGGCTGAAAACACTGGGTTTTAAAGGGGAAGCTAGTACTAGATTCCAGCACTAATTATCCAAGAACAACTTTAAAACCTCAGTGTGTCCCTTTTGTGCCCTCAGAAGTAAGTGTAGGAATATTATTTAAGGCTAAAGAATTAAGAACTTCTTAGGAGCTGTGGAGTTAAGGAGTGGCTTGCATCTTGCTATTTTTCCTCTTTTACCTGACAAGTTGGGTCGTCTTTTCCTGGATGCCCAAACACAGAGGGACTGGAACTGTCTTTCTACCTGTGTCTTTAAAAAATTGCAGATATAATTTGGAAAGGAAATACTACAGTTTAACTTTGTGGGGGAAGATTTAAATGAAAAGTTAATTGCATTGTTATAGCAGAGGAAATTACTTGGTTTATGCCTAGTGAAATACAGGAAACCTTGCTGGAGTTACCTGGAACGAGGGTAGTGTTGAAGTGCATCTGTTAACTGGCTTTAATTCAGAACATGTCACATATTTTTAATTGATTGGTTAAGTGCTGCTGTGAGTATTGAAGGGGGAAAAAAGCCCAAAATCTGGGTTACAAACTATCTGTGTCAGTGTTTAAATCAAGTATTGCTTGAATTTGAGGGGCTAGAAGTGGTTTAGTTAAACTTGATTGAAATAACTTAGAGCAGATCATGTCTTCATGCTGTGATGTAAGGTGGAAAAGTAATTAACGTTTCAGTTTTGCTTATTAGGTACAGCTCCATCATAACTGTTTCTAATAAAACTTTGCTTTCAAATTTAGGTTTTCAATTTCAAGTCTCTATTACACAACTCGCTCTTCTTTTACTAAAGGCATTAATTGTTACACTTCAGTTCAAGCTGGAATTTCCATACTTTTCTCCTTCACCCGTTTTCTGTGTGCACCTTACGGTTTTTTACCTCTTTATTAATATGAATCTAGTAAAATACATACAGTTAATCTAGTTCTACATATCAAAGAAAGAAATTCCTGAAATTGCATCACTCTTGCAGTTTGTCTTGAATTCAGTTATATGCCAGACTTCTTCACTTGAAACTTCCAGTATTAAGGATTATTTGCCAAAGGAAGAAGATAAAATGCTGCCAGTGTTTTCTCTGAAACTTTTTATCTCAGTGAAAACAAGATAGAAAAATATTTTTCAAGCAGACTCCCCTCTTCAGCTTCCCAGTATATTGTGAACTACTTCTGAGCAGCAGTTATGTTATCCTGCTATTTTCTGTGAACTAAAATCTTCATCCTTGCTCTGAAGAGAGCTCTAATATCTGTTAATCAGGTTGTTGACAGTAGGCAGCCAAGCTTCCCTGTACAGTTGCCAGTGCCAAAGGCAGTGTAGCATTGCTGAAGCCGAGCTGCCCAAGAGGAGAGAGGTGCTGAGTATTTCCCATCTCTGTGGCGAGGTCACAGGAGAAGACTTTGGAGACTTTGCCACCGAATTTTGAAAGCGGCAATTGCCACGCGTTTTGCATGGTGCTGTGAAGATTTTTGGTGAAAGCTCTCCGCAGAGCCGGATGACTGGTAACTGTCCCTAGCGAGACACGGTACTTAACGCCTGGAATTTAAAAAATGAAAGAATTAGCCACAGGAAGAAAACAGTTCCCTGTTGTGCAATTCCTGTCATCATAGAGGTTTCATCAGATTTATTCCTTCTGTAAAGCTCTTCAGGACTGAAGACATGAGCACCAAAATCGTTTTGGTTGAGAGATCTGAATCCTCACTTCTTGAGAAGCCCTACTGTTTCTCTTTGCCTTTAATGAGGGTGGGTTGTTTTGTGTTTTTTTTTAAGAAGGATCACTCCAGATGATGCACAGTATTTGCAATTGCATAATCAGCGTGGGTCTTGGCAGCCCATGCATTCAAATTTCTCATTATTGGATGTCTACTTTTAGCTTGTGCACTTTTTTTCCTTTCAGCATTTCATTTGAGCTGCTTCCGTGTTAACTTTTGTTTCTTCGAGTGTTAGGATTACAGGAGTCTTTTGGGGTGGGGTTTTTTTCCTTTTACTTTAAACACCATTTGACCTAAATAGTTGTTGTCATTCCAGGTTTATGTATTGAAACGACCACATGTGGATGAATTTCTTCAGAGGATGGGAGAGCTCTTTGAATGTGTACTCTTCACAGCCAGTCTAGCCAAGGTTTGTTCCTCTCTTCATCTCATTAGCCCTTCCGGTGCTGGCCAGTGAACTTTTGGTTGTGTTTTCTATGGATAATTATTTTCACAGTTGGTTCTGTCTTAATTTTTCCCCTTCTTTTCTGCTTCTTTGTCTGACAGTGTGTACTTTGTCTGCTAGTGTGTGGGTAAGTGTTTCCATGGTAACACCATTACATATGGGCTTGTCTCATAATGTAGCCTCCATGCATTGCTCATAATGCCAATATGAAAGGCTTACAAGTTACCATGGTTATAGTGAGAAATTAGAACAAATAGTGTGCGAGGAAAGCAGTATATTAAAGCTGGGCATGAAATAAAATACACTGTATTTAACGCTATCTACATGACCAAGCAGTGATTCAGAAATTTACTGCATATGAAAATTGGGAACACAGGGTTGTTTTTCTGTCAAGGTGCAATTGCAGTCTGGAGTTAGAAAATCAGACACTGTTTAACGCTTGAAACATCAACGGGAATATTTTGTGCCCTCTGGTCTCTGTAGCAGTAGTACCTCGTAGGTAGTTTTGTGGTAGACATTACAGCAGTAGACATCTTAAATTCTTCACTTCTTTAAATGTATTGCATTTGTGGTGTCTTATTTGTGAAATCCTATTTATTATTTCTAAATACTACCCTAGCATAGTAAGCTTTTACTCCAACCTTGTGCAGAGATGGTGGAAGGGGACAGGACCCCATTTGATGTGCTGTAGTGCTGCCTTACCGGAGGATTCTTCCCTGCACTCTGTTTACCATGTTCTGTTCAGTCACATGGAGAAAATCCTAACTAATGGACCAGTTTCATGCTGCAGTTAGATCACTAGCAGATTTCATCGCCGAGAGATGATTGATTTCAACATCAGTTTTGTTTCTCAGTAAGGTATAGGAAAATGGTAACTCCTGTCCTGCAAAAATAAGTTAAAACTGCCATTTTCAAGTGTGTGGTTATTTCATGTTCTGGGTTATTTGGATACTTTTCCTTGGACAGTTTACATCAGTTGTTAGATTCTAAGCTGTGCCTCACTTAAAAGTATCATCTTCTGTATAAAATGAGGATTTCCCAGTGTTGTACATGGGTATTTTTCCTAATAACATCTTTGTTTGATCTTTTATGGCCCAATTGTGCAATTTGTTAATCTTAAGATTCTTCCTGACCCAGTGGCTCCAGGGGCATCGTTTGAAAGAGGGACATCAAGCTCAGGTGCCTTTGCTGCAGTTTATCTGTGGAAATGGCTCCGTATAGATTTTCTTTTAGCGTTGGCTGGTTTTATGGTAACGTTAGGTGAGACCTCTGGATCCATCAACCACTAGGTAGCTTCTAGGGTAACTGTAGGTTGGCCCTAAGAATAAAACCTAATCAGTAAATCACAGAGAACATTAGAGTGCAAGTTAGCCTTCCGTAGAAAGGTAACCGTCCTACTTCTGTGTTATCTCTCCATTAATCACTTCAGGTTTGCAGGCATGTAAGTTAATTAACAAGGAGCAGGGAAGAAAAGGAAGAAAGGGCATTTCATCTGAAATAATGTTGCGTCCCTTTGTACAGTTCTGTGGATTAACAGTATCTGCACATCGCTAACTTTGTGTTTCTAACTTCTGTTTTTAAGTATGCAGACCCAGTAGCCGACTTACTGGATCGCTGGGGTGTGTTCAGGGCAAGGCTCTTTAGAGAATCCTGTGTTTTCCACCGAGGAAATTATGTGAAGGATCTGAGTCGACTGGGACGTGAGCTGAGTAAAGTTATTATAGTAGATAATTCTCCTGCATCTTACATCTTCCATCCTGAAAATGCAGTAAGTATTCTTCGTATCCGAAGTACTGAAGCGTAACTGTGTCTTTCTGGCCCTTGCCCAGACTTTCTGATTGAGAAAATAGCCTTTCTGAAGGCTAGCTGTAGGAGTTTCTGTGTTTTCTTAGACTGTGGGTAGGTTCTAGTGTGCGCTGCCGAACGGTGAAGGACTAGAGCAAACTGATCTTGACAGGGTGTCATAGTCATGGCTGTTCAGTCATGGCTGTCATCTGCTTTCGGTTTTAGCTTTTGGCACAAAGTCCATCAGTTTGAGAAATACCAAGGGGTGTAGAACCTGAATAACCTAGCTCTAAAAAGCGAACCTGCCCGCCAGCATAGATTTTGTTCTTTGGAGTGGTGGTTACAGAAGGGGTGGTTTACTTGAACTGCTTTTTGGTGCTTCATCTTTTCTCATTGTGTGAATGAAAATATTTTATTAGACAAGATAATTGTTTTACTGGTTACTGTCTGACTTCTGCCCTCATGGCTAAGGGGAAGAAAGAAATCAAGATCTTGTGTCGTTATGCCTCTCCTTTTAAGTATTTTTGTGAAACTCGCTTCATAATGAAAAATGTTAGTCAACAAGTTCATCACATTTTAGGAATAAGGATAAACGGCAGGCAACAGTACTTGAAGGGAGAATAATTAGGAGCAGTGCTCATTTTCACTGTGCTTCCTATCGGTTCCAGAAACTGTGATGGAATAATCTGGCACTCGCTCCATCCCTTGCTGCAGTCGGTACAGATGCTCACATCTGGTTTGTAGCTGCCAGGATAGCCAGCTGGAACTCGCCCTGGATCTACTGACTTCTAAACAACCGGGCCTCGCAATGTTTTCTTTGGTGTTTTCAGGCTGCCTTTTTTGTGAACTGTTAAAATTAACGTAGGACACTTCTATCAGGAACAGTTTTGCATGGTCCTGCCTCTCTGGAATAGCACTTTTTTTCTTTATGAGAATCTTGCAGCAGTCAGCTTTTAAATTCAGATCCTAGTTCTGTGATGCCCTAAATGATTGGGTGAAAACATTTTTCTGGTTGGTGCCACACATGGTTGAAAGTTGCTATTTATAATAACCAGGAGCTGTAGCTCTAATTTATGTTCCTGGTTAAAATTAAAAACCTGATCCAGATCGTCATTTGGTATCTCGGAATTCAGTGCCAAAAAAATAATGAGATGTAGAAATTTGGGAGATGAAATTAAGGGTCCTGTCAGAGTGGTTTAATCATGTATAGAAAAGTGCTGTTAGCTAACTGATATTCGAGTCTCTGCAGAAACCAGAGCTTGTAATGAGATCCAAGATAGTCTTTAAAAGACCTCAGTAGACTTCCATCAGGAAGACACACACAATTCCTTCCCCAGATCCAACCCACATATTTAAGGAGGGTTATTATATGCATTATTTTCTGAACCTGCTCTCAAGGTCTTGCATCTTAATCAGAGAACTGTTCTGTACTCGCTGTTTAAGTATTTCCTCCGCAACCTCATGCCAGAAGGGGTTGTTGCTGCATGTCTGTGTTAATTGACTCGCACTGATAATGCTTAGATGGGGGAAAAAAAGGACTTACCCATTAAATAGTCAGTACAGCTTCGTCACCTCGATCTTCCCCTACCTAGTCTATTCCGAGCATCAAGGAGGCAGAGCAAATTGAGCCCTCCAGTGTTGGGTCGTGCAGGTTACCTGGCCACGCAGGAGGTGGTCAGCTGCGTGTCAGCTGTTTTACAGTTGGATTTGGGGTTGATGTTGCATACTGAAAAATGAGAGCTCGAACCTGGTACTCCGCTTGAATGCTAATGACTAGCAATTTGCCTTACTGTGATGGCAGTGAGTATTACAGGACATATGTGTCAGCAAAACTCCTCCTTATGATGTGTAAACTCTTCTTCACATCATACAGTTCTCTTAATATTTATTGTTGCTTTGTTTCAGGTGCCTGTGCAGTCCTGGTTTGATGACATGACAGACACAGAGCTGCTAGATCTTATTCCTTTCTTTGAAGGACTAAGCAAAGAGGAAGAAGTTTACAGTATGCTTCATAAACTCTGCAACAGGTAGCCCTTAACCTTGACTGACTTCTGCTCCGAGATTGCAGTTGCTAGAGGCTGTCTCCATCTTCTTCAGTTCTTTCAGATGTAAGCTTTGGGGAGGTCACTCCTGTCAGAAGTGCTACTCTTGATCTTCCTGTTACATTGGACACGAAGGACAATCATGAGTGATGCTATCAAGCCTTCAGAAGCCTGACTCCTAAGGTCATGTGTTCAGACTACTTTTATAAAGACAAAAAAAAAAAAAGCTATTTTAAATGGGACTCTTTTAATGAATTTCATAAATGGACATCTTTTACTGGATCAGCTTTTCTTAAAACATGCCAAAAAAGAAGCTTGTATTTCAGCAGTTGAATTTCCCTCCCTTTCTTCCCCTCCCACTATGCAGACAATTTTACCCCCCTGCTTAGAGCAGTTGACCTGACTCTGAATTTTTTCTTACAGAATGAAGTGCCTTTTTGAATGTTATTTTAAGATAAAAATTCATTTTTGTATAAGACGTATTTCCAGACATCTTTTAGTCTTGTATTGTCTAAATGCTTTAAAAGGAAAAAGGAAAAAAATTTTATAGAGCACTGTAATATATAACAGAGGAAAAAGTTGAAACAAAGATGCTGGGTTCCTGTCTCCACAACGACATTAAGTTGTGTTACATTTTGTCACGCTCAGAAGGTTTAAGTGCTTGTGGGAGGGGTGATTTGGGTTAATTACCTGGTTGTTTCACTGATAAGAATTTGGGCACAGTTTTGGACATATCTGCAGTTGTTTGGGTATTAGGGAATGATGGAATTGAGAAAGTAAGGTGGCTAGTAGATCTCAAGCACCTTTTCTTCAAAACAGATGAAGTTCTGTTGTCTCTGCTTACGCACAACTGCCATGCCTCTCGTTTCTTGGAAAACCGTTATCTTGGGAGAATGGGGAGGAGTTCTATTTATTAGTTTAAGATTCTTTACTTAAAAACAGCCCATCTGGGTAAGCTGGATCTGTATTGAGCTGTTTGGAGTACTTTTTTTCTTTTAATTGCTGCTACTGTATACTCACCAAACAGAGTTGACCATCGGCTGTTATACTGTTTTTGCCACTGTGCCTGTGCTATGAAACATTTTCTGTTAGCTGCAAACTTGGGCAATAAACACAATGCAGGCTTCATAACCCACCCCTACCTATTGATCCTACGGTATCGGATATACCATAGAACTCAGTTTAAGGTGACCTGCAAAGGAATTCGGTTTTATACATAATTTTGTGGGGTTTTTTAAAATTGGGGTGAAGCCGTCTCCTGTTTTTGGTGTATAAAAATGCAAAAAGTATTTTTCCCACATCTCCGATTTGTACTGCTCCTTCCTCAAGGTGTCAGGTACAGATGGGGAGCTTTATCGAGTCTTGCTGGAAGGGCAGAAGTTACTAGCCTAGGCTGAAAGTGGTCCTCTGGCTTTGGAGCGGAGTGTGTCCAAAGCAGAGAACTTGCTTAGCATCTTCTGTGGTGTCAGCGGTACTCTTTCAGAAGTATAACTTGTCATTAATTCAAGCCTTTGAAGAGCAGGGCCGACCTGGGTTCGAGGTTTTTTTTTTCCTTTGCAGTGTCACCTTTTAATTATTCTCCGCACCAGAAATCTACAAATGTAAAAAATTCGGTGACAGCTACGTTTGGCAGTCATCAGAGAAAACTAAGTGGAGGAGTTGGTGCTTCTAATTAGCCTTGTGCTAAATTCCGAGCAGTAGATCCCCTTTGCCTCTTCTCTTTTTCTTGACAAGCCTTGACGACTGAAGAACATTTTTGCGGCGGACTTGGGTTGTCATCCATGTCTAAAACATTGGTGAAGCAGCTTAACAAATTCATTTGTGGAAGGGCAGGCCAGCCTACGCAGGCAGTAGTAGGTTGCCGTAGGTGCAGTATGGAACTGAAAGATGACTTGCCCCCCTTGCAAGTGTCTCGCAGCGAGGGACGTTCAAGGCGGTCCCGTGACCCTCGTGAGTCTGTACAGCATCACCCTTTTGTTTTCTTACCGGTTGGCGTTACCTTAGTACTGTATAATTCTGTGCCACAACAAAACTAAGTAAAAAAAAAAAAAAAACCAAACCCCAAACAACCCTGGGTTGTTTAAAAAAATGGAAAGAGAGGAGGAAAAAATAACAAAAGGACGTATGGATTCTGGTTAGTCCATTAACGTTTACTTTCAGTTTGAGATTGTTTAATTTTGTATCTGACTTCAGAGTAATGAAACCGTAAGCTGCCAAAAAGTTGTTCTCTGAGCAGTATTTTCAACTGTGTTTGTGGCTCCCAGGCTTCAAACGCAGTTTGCAGGGAAGTATTCAGGTTGTAGTTAGTTGTGCAGGTATGATAGGAGTGGCTGAAGAAATTCAAAGACTTTTTTGCTAGCATTAGACCAAACAATCTTCCAACTAGACAATAAATAACCGAGGCATTGCCAGATAAGGGTTGTGACCCGTTGTACGTGAGGCGAACCGTGTCAGTTATTTGCATTTCTGAAAGCAGCGATTTCATGAACCAGTTGCCTTAAGTCTGTGAATGAATGTTGATTATTAAAAGTGTCTTGTATTGTTTTAAAATCCACATCTAATGGACAACTGAACTTCTGCACCAGCTTCTGGGAGAACGGTTCCGATGACGTTCTACACAACCTTCCTGGTTGTGTATTTATTTTGGCTCTGAAAGCCACTTTTTTTAAAAAAAAAAAAAAAAAAATTTGGTACAGCATTAAAATGACATTTGGTGACAGTACAGAGGTGAAAAACTCAGCACCAGTTTTCATCTCTGGTAGTATCTTGAGTATTTTCTTCTGGTGAACATTTCTTTTTTTTTTTTTTTTTTAACTCATTCCCTTTGCAATAAAACTTGGAGCGCTCTGCCGCCAGTTTTGGACTTCCCTGGGTATTCAGATTTGGCCAGAGGGATCAAACTGTCATAGTTGTTTATTTTGACACGGTCGCCGTACTTGAAATGTCAAGTGTTAGTTTCTGTGAAGATCCATACGCTGTATATTTAGAGTTTCTCGATTTTTAACAAAGCAATATCGGTCTGTCCGTAAAGCCAGATAACAGTGGAATGTTTGTAAAATTTGCAATACGGGTATTTGATTGTATTTTAAATACAAGATTTTAAAAATTAAAATAGGAAGAAAAAAAAAAACCACACCCCCACTTGTTTCCTAAATCTCTTGCATATTTTGAAGTGCAGTTAACGCCTGCAGGTCCCTAGGGCTGCTCCATGCCCTGGGTTTTAATTTTATTTCTGGATATTATAGAAGTATTAAAAAGCTTCCCAGTTGGCCACTGTTCAGTTAAAGAAATGCTGCCTGGCCTGAAGTTCTGTTGTCCTTTTTATGTCGGGTTAAAAAAGGTTTTTTGCCTGTATAGGTATTTTTAAATTAAGCTGTAAGGCAGAATGCCTTAGATTCTTGAAATTCAACTGAAGTGTTACGATTAAATTGCCATCTGTAAACTAGGGCTGTGCGCAGGATGCTTGTCAACCACCAGGACGCGTGGCAGGTTTGGAGTGGGAGATCGCAGCCGATGTACAATGTTGCTGTGTTCATTTAGGTAGCTTTTGGAAGAGCAATTTGTCTATTTGTTTTGCCCTTTAATCTTTTTTTAAACAGCAAAGTTCTACGTGGAAGAAACTCCACACCTGAAGAGATTTGGTTATCGGTGTATGCAATCACTTTATCACAGCATGATTTTGATTAGACTGGTTGGGGACAATAAAGGATCTAAATGACACTGGTGTGTACTGATGTTGCAGCTTTGGAAATTATCAGTGTAAAAAAAAAAAAAGAAATCTGTAGCTATATAACTTACAAACACATAATCCTATGTTTTACAGGTTCTTTTTAAACTAATAAAACACAGTACCGCACAGCCCTATTTGTAAACAAAAAGCAGTTTGTGCCTCTGATTTCCAAGGTGCTGTGACGTTTTATGCCTTTGTGGGGTGAGGAGGGCAGGTGAGACTTGGCGTGGGGCGATGGCTTAAAAATCTCTGGGCTAACTATGCAAAACCAGCTGTCAGTTTTCTGTCACATTGTATTGTAAAAGTCCAGCTGACTTTTTTTTTTTTCTTTCTTGTTAAAGATCTATTGGGAACTGCTTAACAGGAGGAGTAAGCAATGGAAATGTTTCTTTCTTTCTTCTCTTTTTTTTTCCTAATAATGGAGCTGTTTACACTTTAATGCAATGAACAATCCAACGATACTTGAGAAACACTACAGATACCATATGAGTGTTTTCAGGAGAGAGAAGTGTTGTCAATCAGGTATTGAATGGTTTCTTTACTGTCACAAATAAAAAATTTTAACAATATAGTTACTTGTGCATGTAATACTTCTCTGGGAAAAAGGATTTCTGCACTTCTTCAGTAATAGTCGCTGCCCCAGTTTGACAGGGGCTTCACTCCTGCTAGTGCACATCCATGTTAGATGGTAACATCACCCTTCTCTGTGCCACTCTCCTCCCCCCACTCCTCTTTTTAAGTCATGCACAGGAGTCCTTATTGACTGCCCTGGCACCTGCTTGTGCAAACAGAGCTGATGAACTACTGATGAACTCTGTTAAATAAATTGGTGGTGACTCTGGCAGATGCTCCAGCTATTTAGATCTCTTGGATGAGATCATACAATAATTTGTTCAAGTCCCAAAGCTGTGTGACTTCTTTTGAAGGCCTTACTTCAGCTACTTGAATGGCCGCTCTTAACGTCGCTGCCATAGTCAAATGAATATCTGAATAAAACACTTTATTTGGTTGGAAAGTCTATTTTGGCACTTTTTTATCTGACACAGTAAAGCTTAGGCAGAGCCTTCCTTTCTAGGAAAAGGCACATATTATTCAGGCTTTATGAGCAGAAAACCTCAGGCCTGTTAGAATAAGCAGCTGGCTCAAGACGGCACGTTAATTGCAATTAAGAATATTTGTTAGTTATCCCTACGATGGGTTGGAACGACCTCGGCTGCCTTTGCTTTCTGCAGGTGGGTTGGGGTTTTGATTGTTTTTTGAGTTTTGGGTTGTTCGGTTTTGGGGAGGAGTTTGTTGAGTTTTACCAATCTCCTTAGCTGTTGCTTTGGCAGTAAAGATGCTTTTCTTCCACTCTGTGAAACGAGTGTTTCAGAATTCCTAAACCGGCGTATTTATGGCGGTGAGAAAGGCACTGTTGTTGCGTCCTGGCTGACTGAAAGGCATGTTCGTCTGTCCATGCACCTCTACGCATCTGCCTTCCAA